TTCACATGAACTTATCGGCCCATTGTCTGCCAACCCTATATATGATCTTGGATACACTCTCCATTTAGACATACCTAATTGTTTAGCTTGTTCACCCTGTGGATTTATTATTAACTAGCACTTCTGACATTAACTAGTGGTTGTGGAGTCAACTCTTTTTATTTCTGCTTCATAAAAAATAGAGGATATATTAAAAGGAGTTTGGGAATTAAAACATGAACACATTTAGAGGAATATTTAGGCATGTTGGGAGAGGTAAAATTTACATAACCAGTGAAGGGAAATTGAGCTGAGCTTGCTCTTTAGGATGTCTCTTTTAGGGAGGAATCCTGAGTGTAACACCAAAGAGTGTGGAATTAAGTGACAATGACATGGTAAAGGCCAGAAATTTGTGCTTGCAGCTACCTTTTAGCATAAATCTCTTTGTCTTTCTTTGCTTAGATACTTTATCTAAACACTGTGCTTCTCAATTAGCTCTCTTCCTTTTCCTCATGATTGCTTTAACATCTCTTCCTTTCACACTCTTATTGACAATAATTTATAAATGGTGTTTTTGTATTTTCTGCTGATACCCAATAGCACAAATGGTTAAACACTCAACTGTTAGCTGAAAGGTTGGCAGTTCGCACCCACCCAAAGGCACTTTTGAAGACAAGCCTGGTAGTCTGCTTCTGAAAAGTCAGGTTTGAAAACCCTACAGGACAGTTCTAAGGAGCTCTGGTGGCACTGTGGTTAAGGCATTGGGCTACTGAACAAAAGTCTGCAGTTCTAACCCACCAGTTGCTCCATGGGAGAAAGATGAGGCCATCTGCTTCTTTAATGATTTATAGCCTTAGAAACCCTATGAGGGATGTTACGAGTTGGAATCAACTTGATGGCAATGGGATGAAGCAATTCCACTCTGTACACATTGGGTCACCATAAGTCAGAATCAATGGCAACTAACAGCTACAACAAAGCTCATCAAGAGTGTGTGGAATTTGTTAAGAAGACTGAGCAGGATAAGAAGCAGGGAAGACTGTCCAAAGTACCAGGTGACCGCTAAAGAGGGTGTGTGAGAATGTGTGTACTCAGTGAGGGAGGAGGGGCAGAGGACAGGCCAGGTAAGCAAAGGAGAAGGTGGCCAGTTTCTTTAAATTACAAAGGAAAAATTAGTTTTTTGTTTGTTTTGTACTCTTTTGAATGATTAATTATGTTCTGCATACTCAGATCATTATGTTTTCACCAATAACAACACTTCATCAAATATGCTCAGTCACCAAGATTAGATCAATAGGTAGCTGCCCAGGTCAAACCGGGTTCAACAAGAACATTAGACTTCCTGTTTCAAAACAAGTAAATTTTATCTAGTATAATCCCATCTTAATTTGCATGCCTTTCTATTATTTTACAATAAAAGTGTGTTTCTAAAATGCCCTTACATGGGAGGCAATTACTTATAAAGCATGAAAACTGAAAGATACTCATACTAGAAGTCCATCATTTTCTCTGGATGACAGATATTATTATGCAGGTACCCAGTAGAACTGATATTACTTCCTAATAGTGAGCTTCTAAAAGCCTTTTTTTTTTTTTTTATGAGAAAATAAATTCTACAATCAGCTTTTGTGAAAACTCATTTTAGAAAATATCTTACCTGTACCAAGTTGTAAATGCATTCAATAGAATTCTTCTTTACATCAGGGTCTGGGCTACTCAGTAGTCTGATGAGTGGCTCTAATCCACCGTGTTCAAATATTTGCACTTTACTGGTATACTCTGCAGACATGTTTGCCAAACAAAGACTAGCAAACTCATGGATAACTACTTCTTCTGTATATCAAAAATAAACAACATAAGTAAGCCAAATGCTTATCCAACCATTGCTTTAAAACATGCTTTGGAAACCAAAGACCCACAAATCTTATCTTGGTTAGAGACCACCTTTTTTATAAACTTAAAATTGAGTTGCAGTTTGAGAAATTTTTAATGACAGTTCACAATTCATATTTCATAACTATTTCAAATACTAGTTTAAAAAATGAATAAACTAGTTCTATTTTTTTGGAAACAGATGTATGATGCATAGTTACCTTCTGGAGCAAGTTGAGCAATAAGAGAATTCATGACATCTAACTCCCTTAACAATTTTTTAACATCATCTACAAAAGAAACAGAATACTGATGTTTATTACTACTAATAATGACACTGTCTATTGAATAGTCCCTTGTGAAACAACTACTATTACAAAATTTTACAGATCAGGAAATTGTGGCTCAAAGTCATACAGCAAGTAGGTGTGGCATCAGGTTTCATGCCCAGGACTGAATTACCCTAGGCAAACTCTAGCTTACACTCCTTGATCACTGAGCTATATTCCATTCTAATATCACTAGAAAACCAAAACCACTGCCACTGAGTCGATTCTGACTTACAGTGACCCTACAGAACAGAGTAGATCTGCCCCATAGGGTTTCCAAGACTGCTGATTTTTACGGAAACAGACTATCACATCTTTATCCTGTGGAGGAGCTGGTGGGTTCAAACCACCAACCTTTTGGTTAGCAGCCAAGTGCCTTAATCACTGTACCACCAGGGCTCACTATCACTAGAAAAGAAAACCATAAAAGTACAAAATTTCCTAGAACACATGCCAGTAAAGTCGAGTTACTGTGACCTATACTTGAGTAAGTTTGTTATATAGTGTGTGTGTGTTTGTGTGTGTGTATACACACACAAATACAATTATCCCAGCCTATCTCAGTTAATACATCTTGATTGCTTACATTCTATGTGACTATTCAGAAATGCCAAAAATGCTTCAAGATAAGAATATTGACTTGTTTAAAAAAAATTGCCCTTAAATATGTGTATGAGCTTAATTAAGGATGGACAGATGTGCCACTACCTCTTTCCTGCCATCCTAATCTCCTTTTTGTGAGAAACAGGCATAGATGCTCCTTGAGTTCTGCAGTTTCTCTTCTTTTATCTTCATCTGTAGGTCAAAATTAGCATTACTAGAATTTTGGAAAAGTTCATTTTGCAGCAGCTGAATAGCAGATGGTCTCTAGATGAATTCTTCCTCATTAACTGCTGGATATACTTGGGTTTTACTGTGTATCTTTTCCTGTGGGACTCAGGGATATGGCTGTTTTTTAGCCTGTCAAAATTTTGCTTTCTCTGTTTCTGTTCAAAATGGCCAAAAGAGATCCGGCAAAATTACACCTAGCTATGCACATGTGAGGAGGCTTGACATACAAAAGAACAAATGAACTTCGAGAGTGTACCTTCTCAAGGTGAAGAACATAATTTTATAGTTAACACTTGTTTCGGGGGGGGGGGAACCACATGCATTCACCACAGATTAAGAAATAATAAGTTTGATATAATACTCAGACCTTTCCAAGTGTTCTGGTGAACTATACAGAGTTGCACCCTCCAGTAGAGTATGTTACTGTTCTCTTCTCACTTCTATGCGTCTGGTCTGTATTGCTTCTGGAATGATGCCTGTGAAAGCCACACTGAAGTATGCTATTTTCACATGCTTGAAGAAAAAAATGTTTCTGGGCTTTTAGCTCACCAAGTACATTTCCCATGTGGTATACAAAATAATCTTTCACATACTCGAAAAGTTTTTGCTGTAACACTGACTATAAGGTCAAAAAGATTTTTGCTCAGTGAACTCTGCTCCTCTTGTTTCTCTGCATGATCCACTCCCACAGGCAGAGGCCATACCACTGCATTTCTATGTGCAGCATAAGGTGACACTACACCTTGGTCTGCCCAAGCAAGTTTACGTTTTCTTCAGAGGATTACTCCATAACATGAAGTTCTCCTCTAGGTCTGAATCAAGGCCAAATGGCAAGTGATGTTCATAACAGATCTAGTAGATCTATCCACTAAACCATTTTCTTGTAGCCCAGTAGATGATTTAGATGAACTAGCATCTCTTGAAACCTAGGGGTACATCTGATTAATTTGCTATTCTGCTTTTAACTATCACATTATTCACAAAATTTGCCTTTTCTTGAGGTCAAGTCAACAAAAATAATGGGTAAGCTGCTACTTCCATCATTTTTAAAAAATACGTATTTATTGTGGTATGGGTGAAAGTTTACAGAGCAAATTCATTTTCCATACAGCAGTTCACACACACTTTGTCTCATGACATTGGCTGCAATTTCCCACAATGCAACAGCTCTCTTCCCACTTCCTCCCCATAGTCACCTCTTCCCTGTGTTCTTCCCTCCCATGCACTCCTGCCCCTAGGTGTCTCCCTGTGCATACATAGCCCTTCTAATCTCCAAAGATTGATCTCTCTAATGATTGTATCTACCTTATGTAAATGTTCAGCTCATCTGCCTGTCTTTTGTTTGGCTGGAAGCTGCAAGAGTGAGTTCAATTCCAGACCTGAAAGGCAGCTAGGAGCCATACTCTCAGGGGTTCCAGCAGGCTCTGTGAGACCAGCAAACCTGCCCCCGCCCTCTTTTTTTTTTTATGATTTTGTGTTTTTTTTCCACATTGTTCTCCTTCTCTATCCAAGATTTCCTACATAGAACTTCCATCATTTTAAGCACAAAGATGGTCTCTGTCCCCTTTCTTTTTCAAATGAGAGCACTCTCAGATATGGCAACTAAAGAGAAACTCTGACTTATGATCAGGCCACAAGATCATGTTCTAGCCAAATACTGTGACAGATGCACCTACAATCTTAGGTGGTTCCACACCTCTTGCCACTTTCATTTCCTGGGGTACCTTCATGTAATCAGTTTTCATTGCATTCTTCTTCACAAGTATTTAGTTGCATAATGTTGACCATCTAAGTTACTGTTGACCTTATATTCTCCCAAGGAGCTGTGGTATAGTGGTTAAAGCATTGGGCTATTAACCAAAGAGTCAGCAACTCGAGAAAGATGAGGCAGTCTGCTTCTGTAAAGATTTTCAGGCTTGGAAACCCTATGGTGCAGTTCTACTCTGCCCTAAAGGTTGCTATGAGTCAGAATCAAATCGAAAGCAGTGGGGGTTATATTCTTCTACAGTCACTTTTTACTAAGATGGCAAGCTCTTCAGATTGCTTTAAGTAGTGTAAAGTCTGGGCCTCACATGGATCATGATGAAGTCTCTTTTCAGCAGACTTCTTAAATAAGTCTTTTTGTTATGTAGCCTCTCTGAACTGAATACCACATACCAGGTGAAAGAAGAGAGCAACTGCATTTTTATAAAGGTTTAACAAACTAATTTAAATACTTGTCTTGAATGTACCAAGCCTGGTATAAGCTTGTAATTCAATCTTTCTAGCAAAAAATAAGCAATATTGATTTGCAACTGCAAAAGGAAAAGACGACTCTCATAGGAATCCCTTTAGCACCTGGGATTCTGCCAAAATATCCAATTCCTATACCATGAGCACAATGATATTACTGACTGCATGAAAACTACACAAACATACAAATTCTGAAGAAGCATCACTTATTTTGGGAAAAATGCCCAAAGATTATAATTTAACTGTGCAAGCTGCAGAGGAAAATCTGGAAATAATAGCTTTACATGTAAATCAAATGACTAGTTTTCTAAATAATTCTGCTCATATTATATTTCAACTCTTCTTGGACAAGTATGAAAAGTGAAGCAGCAAGTGTTATGTGTTGGCTCTACTAACAAAAGAACTTCACAAGCAATTAAGGACGCCAGTTTTCTAACTGTGTCATCAGATATTTCACATAGAAAATTAGTCAATTCCAGTAACAGTTTTATTTGCTCATCCAATTCACAGAATCAAAAGAAAGATTTTAGAAATTCATTCATCATACCTGAAATCCATGTGCTCAGTGAAGACTTGAAGGCCACAAGGTAAGCAGTGTTTCTGCCCTACTGTCCTCAGCTTTGTGGTTGCACACCTGGAGCCTCCTTCTAGCACTGAGTCACATCCTAACTGGCAAGCCTACAGAATAAGTTCTAGTAGGCCCAGGAGACCTACTTCATTCATCAACCAAATGTAAAATTCTTAATATTTTTGGGTCATATACATCTTCAGAAACTCATGAAACTTAACTATGAATTCTACTCAGGAAAATTTTCAAATAATTTGAAAGGCTTCATAGATTATAAATTCCTGATATATTGAATAAATAAAATAAATAATAGAAATTATGAATGAAAGGGAACAGGAACGCTGATACCAAAGCCAGGCAAAACCACTAAAAAAGGAAATTATAGACAATATTCCTCATGAATATAGATGCAAAAATTCTCAATCGAAACTCTAGCCAAACAGAATTTAACACCATATCACAAAAATAATAAATCATCATCAAGTGGGATTCATACTAGGTATGCAAGGGTGGGTCAACATTAGAAAATCTATTAGTGTAATTTGCATAAACAAAGGAAAAGAAACATATGATCATATCAATCAATGCAAACAAAGCATTTGATAAAATGAACTTCAAGAGTGTACCTTCTCAAGGGGAAGAACATCATTTTATAGTCAGCCATTCCTGATAAAAACACTCAGCAAAATAGAAATAGAAGAGAAATTCCTCAACATAATAAAGGGCATATATAAACAAAACCAACAGCCAACATTATTCTCAATGGAAAGATGCTGAAAGCTTTGCCCTTGAGAATGGGAACCAGACAAGGATGCCTTTATACCCACTCTTATTCAGTATTGTATGGGAAATCCTAACCAATGTAATAAGGCAAGAAAGGGAAATAAAAGGCATCCATATTAGTGAGAAAGAAGTAAAATGATCTCTATTTGTGAATTATATGATCACATACATAGAAATCTCAGAGATTCTGTAAGAAAGCTACTAGGAATAGAATGAGTCAATGAAGTGGCAAGGTACAAGATCAACATACAAAAATCAGTCATATTCCTGTACACTAACAAAGAAACCTCTGAAAAGGAACTGACGAAAACAGTACCATTTACAGTAGCCACCCAAAAGATGAAATACTTAGGAATAAACCTAACCAGGGATGTAAAAGATTTATACAAAGAAAATTACAAAACACTACTGCAAGAAACCAAAAGAGGACTACATGAATGGAAGAACATACCATGCTCGTGGATAAGAAGACTTAACATTGTGAAAATTACTATACTATCCAAAATGATCTATAGATAGAGTGCAATCCTAACCCAGGTTCCATCAA